ATTGAATTAGGAATGAAAAGAACCATCTAGAAGATTCTAGAAGACTAAAACCATTCTTAATTGCATTAGGAATGATAAATCATATTAGGCCCTCCCCTAGATCATTGGGCCGTACATAAAGCTCAAATCGGACCCAGTTTGGTAAATTGGCCATAACTTCCTCAATATTCATCGGAATTGGGCTTATAATAAATCGTTGGAAAGGTCTTTGCAAGCCCCATCCAACTACACTACTATTGGACCCATATCATGGACCAATCAAACTGGATTGGTTGTTCTCTTAAAATAAGTTTTCAAAAACAAAGAGAAGAGAAAAGAAAATAAAACTTTCCGCAACACTAGACCTTCCACACTTTCACTTCATTCGATTATGATTCGACGTGAAAGGTACTCATCAATGGGTTTGGTTTTGGGGAGACACATTTGGGTGTCTACAATATCCATCACAAAAGGGCAAGGACCGATGTTTGAAGAGTCGTCTGAGTCAGAGTCGGAGTAAGAGTCTTTCCCCCTAAAGTCTTCTAAGTCCCTAGTAGTAGCACCTTCCCCTCCTATTTCTTCTCCTAGAATAGTTAGTGATCAAATCCCTGAGGATATATCACTCTTTGATGTAATGATCTCAGAGTATAATAATTTCTCCTCCTTATTTCTCGTGTTCTTCTCTAACCCAAGATGACGAGCATTGCTTAACTAACAATGAAAAAGACAAAGAAATTATTAAAGCAATGGAAACACTCGAAAAGAAAACACCGGTAATTGAAGAAACTGAAACAGTTCATATATCAAATGATTCAACCCATAAAAGAGAAGTTAAAATCGGATTAACACTAAATAAACAAGAAAGAACCGATTTAATTAACTTACTTAAAGAATTTATCGATGTATTCGCTTGGTCATACGAAGATATGCTAGGCATTAATAGAAAAATAGCTCAACACACTATACCACTAATTCCAGGAATGAAACCCGTAAAACAAAAGTTACGTCGAATGAAACCCGACGTAGCTCTTAAAATAAAAGAAGAATTTCAAAAACAAATAACTGCAGGTTTCATCAAGGTATCCAAATACCCCGAATGGGTCGCCAACGTCGTCCCAGTTCCGAAGAAAGACGGAAGGGTAAGAATGTGTGTCGACTATCGTGATCTAAATAAGGCAAGTCCAAAGGACGACTTCCCTTTGCCACACATCGATATACTGGTAGATAACATGACAAATCACGCGCTTCTCTCATTCATGGATGGGTACGCAGGTTACAACCAGATTCTCATGGTAGAAGAAGACATGGAGTAAACAACTTTTATAACACCATGGGGCACTTACTGCTACATGGCAATGCCATTCGGGTTGAAAAACGCGAGTGCTACTTACCAACGTGCAATAACTGCCTTACTCCATGACATGATGCATAAAGAAGTCGAGGTATATGTAGACGACATGATTGTAAAATTAAAAGACCGTCCAGGCCATCAAATAGGCTTAAGGAAATTTTTCGAAAGGCTAAGAAAATATAATATGAGGTTGAATCCAGCTAAGTGCGCTTTTGGAGTCACCTCAGGCAAGCTGTTGGGATATGTCATAAGCTCTAGAGTAATAGAGGTAGACCCAACCAAGATCAAAGCAATCATGTCAATGCCACCGCCCAAGACTGAGAAACAGATTCGAGGATTTATTGGCCGATTGCAATACATAAGTAGGTTCATATCAAAATTGACGACAATATGTGAACCAATCTTTAAAAAGCTGAAGAAGAATGTACCAGTGATATGGGATGACGAGAATAATATCTCGCAGATCCTCCCGTATTAGCACCAGCACTTCCCGAAATACCTCTTAGGTTATATTTGACGGTTACCAAAGAGACAATGGGAGCTATGACAGCACAAGAAGTAGAAGGTAAAGAGAATACAATCTACTATCTAAGAAAAAAGATGCTCGAATACGAAGCACGCTATACAGCAATCGAGAAGTTATGCCTCGCCTCGGTGTGGGCCACAACCAAATTAAGACATTACATGCTAGTGCATTCCGTCTTTGTAGTCTCCCGACTAGATCCACTAAAGTATCTATTTGAGAAATCTACACTCAATGCACGCATATCAAGAAGGATAGTCAATCTAGCCTAGTTTGATGTAAGCTTCATGCCACAAAAAGCTATCAAAGGATCCGTGGTGTCAGACTTTCTAGCAGATTTTCCAATAGAAGAATCGACGCCAATACAAGACAACGAATTTCCAGACGAAGACCTAATGGTTACTAAAGATGATACTTGGACCTTATACTTCGACGGAGCCTCAAACCAAAAGGGATGTGGCGTTGGAGTATTGCTAGTATCACCTAAAGAAGAGCATGTTCCAATCTCCATAAAGCTCGGTTTCGACGTTACCAACAATGCTGCTGAATATGAAGCATGCGTGGTAGGCCTTGAAACAACTTTGGCATTGGGAGTAAAAAAGTTAAGGATATTCGAAGACTCTTCTCTAATTATCAATCAAATATCTAAAAGGTGGAAAGTAAGGAGCGAAAGCCTAGCCCCTTACCAAACCTATCTGGAAACTCTCACCGATCAGTTAGAGAAGGTAGAATACACATATCTACCTAGAGAAGAAAACCAATTTGTCGATGCTCTGGCAACACTAGCCTCAATGGTTAGGATTCCCACGGAAATCGAGCAAATGCCTCTAACCATAGAAAAAAGGCACAAACCGGCATACATCCAGGCTATAGAAGACGACGAAGTAATCCAAGGCGAAGAAGAAGAGGAAGAAGAACCATGGTACACGGATATACTCAATTATGTCACTAAAGGAGAATACCCTCTCCATGCTGACAAGAGAGCAAAACGAGCATTAAGGATTTTGGCTTCCCAATATGTACTCATAGACAACGAGCTACATAAAAGGGTACTTAAGGGTCGAGCTCTCTTATGTGTAGGAAAAAAGGATGCACAAAGAGCAATGTGGATAGTCCAAGAAGGAATCTGTGGCACTCATATAAACGGTAAAATGTTAGTCCAAAAAATAATGCGAGAAGGATATTATTGGACTACAATGAATAGGAATTGCCATCAATATGTAAAAGGATGCCCTAAATGCCAAATTTATGCCAATTTACAACATGTTCCTCCATCCTTGCTCTACACCTACATATCACCATGGTCATTCTCTACATGGGGAATCGACATCATTGGCAAAATCACTCCCCCAGGAACAGGAGGCCACAAATATATCTTAGTAGCGATTGATTACTTCACAAAGTGGGTCGAAATGCAATCATACGCTAAACTCACTGCAAAACATGTAGCAATCTTTATCGAAATAAATATTATTTGTCGATACAGAGTCCCACATGAAATGATAAGTGACAATGGAACTCACTTTCAAGCCGAGTGTGAAGAATTGCTACAAAAATACGGCATTCAACATCATCATTCTTCCTCTTATAGGCCTTAAGCAAATGGAGCAGTCGAGGCAGCTAATAAAAACCTAAAGACTATCATCGAGAAAATGACAGAAAATTACAAGGATTGGCCTGACAAACTTCACTTCGCATTGTGGGGTTACCGCACGGCAATTCGCACATCAACAGGAAATACGCCATTTTCCTTGGTATATGGAATGGATGCCGTACAACCTGTCGAACTAGAAATACCGTCTCTACGCATCGCGCTAGAAAGTAAACTCGATGAAGTTGAATGGACTAGGGCAAGGTATGAAGAATTAATTCTACTCGATGAGAAACGACTAGAAGCTCTGCATCACACTCAGTGTTATCAAACTCGCATGGCTAGGCATTTTAATAAGAAGGTTAAGACAAGAAACATCAAAGTAGGAGACTTGGTGTTGAAAGCATTAAGGAAAAATGTTTTAGATCCAAGGGGAAAATTTAGACCTAATTGGTCTGGACCCTACATTGTCAAAACAATCTTGTCAAGAGGTGCAGCAAAACTAACTGATATGGATGGCAATGAGTTCTCAAACATGACAAATCTTGACCAACTTAAGAAATACTACCCATAATTACTTGAGTAGGATACTCAAGAAGGCTACGTTTGGCCTGATTCCTTAAGAAAGGATACGTAGGCAACTCTTTACGGGTGCGGCCACCTTATTTTTCGACATTCTCGCGCCCCGGAATTAATTAAAAATTCGACAGAAATTGGTAAAATATCGGCGTCGCAAAGTAAGCTCTAGCGCCAGCCAACAACCATCAGCGCCAGCCGATGGAATTGGCGCCTGGCGCCAGACTTCCCTGGAAGGCGCCAATTCACAGACAAATTCTGGGCAAATTTCGGTGTTTTTTGGAAAATTTTCAACTTCCGTACTCGAAGAATTTCTGGAAAATTAATTATTTCGGTTTTCATTGCTTTAATAAAATAAATTTAAAGTAAATAATTTAATTAAAAGCTGAAATTTCATTGATAAAATAAAATTACATTATTGATGAAATTTTAATAAAGCTGAAATAAATTAACTTTAAATAAAAATATGAACTAAGTCTAATAAATTGAAAATAAGCAATGCTCCTAATCTTTCTTTTCTTTCCTAGCCCTTTTCCAATTTTTATCTGCTTCCTCCTCTTCATCCATAACCTTAGCTAGTAGGCATCCTTTAGAGGACCTACATTCAATTTTAGAGTAGATGGTCTCCCCTTCAGCTAGGACTCCATGCTTCTTTTCTACCCAATCTTTTTTCTCTGTGGTGTCAGCTTTCCTTTCACTAGTGGAAAAAATCTCATTCGTAACACGATATTCGTAACGGGCAAAGCTTTGCCCGTTACAATTAAGATATTCGTAACGGGCAAAATAGTGTCCGTTACGAATACTTATTTATTTGTAACGGGCAAAATAATGTCCGTTACAAATACGTATGTAATTGTAACGGACAAATTAGTGCTCGTTACAAATAAATAAGTATTCGTAATGGACACTATTTTGCCCGTTACGGATACTATATTACACGTAACATACATATTGTGCCCGTTACAAATGCCCAAAATTGACCCAAAATATGAGAGGAGCCCAGTATTTGGCTCTTTAGGGTTTCACCCAAATGCCCAAACTATGCCGTCATTCACCTCTTTCTCTCTCATCACTCCCTCACTCCCTCTCTCTCTCCTCTCCTCTTCTCTCCTCCCCGTAATTCAACAATCTTGCCCATCAATCTCAGGCCCTCTCTCGTCTCATTTCAAAATCATGCCCTCTCTCCTCTACTCCATCAATCGATCTTCCCCTTCCATTGTTGGAACGACGAGAGAGAGAAATGGTTAAATTGACTGGGGTTGTGCCGGATCTCCTTCAATCCGCCCTTCCACCGCCTTCCGCCGCCCTCCTTCACCGCTTCTCCTTAATCTCGCCCGCAATTTTCGCCGCCTCTCTTTCACTAACCCTAGGTACCAATTTTATAATTTAATGATTATTATTTTTTATGTTTGAATTTCTGGATTCGTTTTTTATTTTTTTAATATACGGGTTTGTTTAATCAAATTTGTGTGACTTGATTTGGATGATTGATGGGTTTGTGTTAATTTTGCTGGATATTTTGTTGTGTATATTAGTTAATTTAAACATTTGAAATCACCTAGGTTTTTTTTATTTGATTAGTTCTTTTTTATTTCATTGATTTTGATCTATTTGTTGCTATCTCTGTTTTTACTGGATTAATTAATTTAAACAGTTGAAATCAATTAGGAAATTTTAAATTGACTGATTGATAAACTGAATTTTCAGGGTTTGTGATTTTGTGTTTTGAATCCTTGTTTTTGTTGTAAAGTTTGTAAATATTACTTGATTTGGAATTTTATGGTTTATCATGTTAGGGTAATGATATGTTTTTATATATGTAATGTTGCAAATTGATAGCTTCTGCTAGTTTGTTCTTCTAATTAGGTTAAAAAAAAGTAGTGGGTTTTGTTTAATTATCATAATTTATGTTATATTTGAGATTTTTGGGAGGAATTTAGCCACAGTAGTATAGCATATGTTTACTTAATACTTTTTTTCTTATAATTCTGCTATCCTTCAGCCTAAAATATGTATACTCAACAGTGCAATCGTTAACCTATCCCACAGGCTTGGGAAATTTTTAGTAATTGATTTCATAAGAAAATAGTTTTTTTTTTTTTTTACATGTTACACTTCATTTTAGATCAAAAGATGCTTAACTTACATAAATTGGTCAATTCTGAATCTTGGACTTGTATCTATAATCTATGTCTGTCACTACTCAATAATCACCAACTTCTCTTACAATATGAAAGATCAAAGGAGGAACCTGAGGAGAAGCATAAGATTCTTAAAGAGATAACTGAGACTATGAAGCATAGAAGCCACCTTGACAGCAGCATTGAATTGATCGGAAAACTTTTATTTGGACTAAACAATGGTCCTTCGGTCCTACACGCAAAGCCAAGCCGTGGAATGCCGCTTGTGGATGATTGGGATTGCTTGAAATCAATGGTAATTAATTAAATTTGTATTCTTGGTTGATTTCATAGTAACAGGACATGTAGCTAAATTTCTGTTATTTTGAACTTAATTAACTGTGAAAACTTTCATATCTTTAGGTTCGGGTGTTTGAGAAAGAATGTGGGACCTTAACTCAATACGGGATGAAACATATGCAGGCCTTTGCAAACATCTGCAACAAGGATATTCCGCTATCAGTAATGCAAGAAGCTTGTGTTGCAGCTTGTAGTGGCCACAACTCTGGCCAGTGGCATCCATCATTCCATGGTTATAGTGCTTAAATGGCTTTTCAGTTGTTATATAATGCTATATATTACTGTATCATATGTGTGAATGTGTTGTTAGACGGTTAGACTAGACCACAACATGGTGATATACTACGGTCCAGAAAGTGACTACTGTGTAGTGTGTTATGTGGTCAATTGCCCAGCTTACGTGCTTAATCAATGCATTTGTTCATAAATATTTTTCATAATTGGCACTTTCATGGGGTATGGACTATGCCCACTATGGTCCCTTAGGACCCTTACCCCAAGACGTGAGGTCGAATTCTACCTCTTGGTTTTCCCCATGTAGATTCGATTGGGATGTTTTAACGAGCATGAGTTCAATAATGTAGGTTATATATACTCATGCTTGAAGCAAAGATTAGATGTCTTAGTCCTAAGACAAAATAGTCACTTTGCAACATTACTTTTATTCAAGGAGTAATTATAAAAGTAAAAAGCGGGTTGGTGGGAAATAGATTTGAGTTCATCATATATTCTTGTGAGTTTTGCTCAGTTAGTTTAGGACTTTAGGTTCATGCTTTATTTGACCTTAAGTATCTGTGAAAGCCCATGATAAATGAACACTGGCTGTGGTTTGCAATTGTTTGAATTTTGGTGTACTATTTTTAAGTGGAGAAAAGCTGCTGATTGAATTATTGGGTGCAGAGTAAATTATAATTGGGGGACATATCAGTCAAACATCTGTATGTGATGTGTATTGATCTGTTACTTTTACCTTTTTTATTTTTATTTTGTTTTTTTATGCTTTATCCTAGATATTAGGCAGCCATTTCCTAATATCTTTCTCTGTATCATATTATGTATTATTGTCCTAATCTCATGTAATATATAGGAGAGGTTTTCTATCCAGATTGGACATCTTTCAAGTTCAAGCAAGTGACCTGTCTGGTAGTTCTTTGGAAAACAGTCCTCATAGTTTTAGAGATGATCAAACTCAGGCTAACAGCACAAATGAGGGCATTGACAATACTCATGTACCAAATGATCCTCAGATTGAGGTTCTTGATAGTGCTAAAGTACAGAATGAGCTTGCAAATGAGATCCTAGATGATGCTCAACAAAATGAGTCTGCAAATGAGATGTAAATCAGTCGAGAGGGCAGTGGGACTTGTGAACAAAGTGATATTGAAGGAAATGCTGGTGTTGGTCCATCTGCTGATGTAAATCAGTCGAGAGGGCAGTGGGCACATTAATTTACAACAATTGGAAGTTCAAGCTGAAATGACGCTGGAGCTTGCCTCAGATGCGGAGAATAGATTAGAGACAATTACGAATTTTTTGAGATGTAAATTTAAAATTTGATGTGCCATATTTTGATAATGTTTGTGTGCCTTTGTGGCATGGAAATCAGTATTTGGGTTTTTGGTTGTTCATTATTATAAATGATAATTTGAAATGTCAATGGAAAAGGAAAAGGGGTATTTGTAACAAGCACCTTTTGTGCATGTTACAAATACCCCTAATATTTTGATTTTTCAAGACATTATTCGTAACGGGCAGTCAAAGTGTCCGTTACAAATAATGGCTATTTGTAACTCGCAGTCAACATGTCCGTTACAAATACCTGGCTATTCGTAACGGGCAGTCAACTTGTCTGTTACAAATACCTGATTATTCGTAACGGGCACTTAACCTGCTCGTTACAAATACCTGGATATTCGTAACGGGCACTTAACCTGCCCGTTACAAATAACTAGTTATTCGTAACGGACAAGTGGCCGTTACGAATAATATTTCTATCCGTAACGGCGGTATTTGTAACGCCCGCTGCCCGTTACGAAAAGCCTATTTTTTCCCGTTACGGATAGGCTTTTTTCCACTAGTGTTTTTCCTTTATCTTTGGTAGTACTTTTCTTCCTAGGCATTGAAGGTATTCTGAATCCAATTCTTTCACCTAAGCGTTCCTTGGCGGGAATCACCCTGTCACCTAGACGACTCTTCACCTCAGTTCTACCCTGATTTTTCTTTGAATCCTTCGAAGGTTTCTTCAGCAACCACTTCTTCACATCATTGGGAAAAGAAGGAGGAACATTTTGGGCAATCACTTCCCATAAAGGTCTAGCACTCCAATAAGCATCAAATCTATCTACTTCCTGAGAGACAGGGTACTCATAGGGTGGACGAAGATCCCAGGAAGGAATATTCTGAAGCAAGCCGTATTGTCTTTTTACCTTGCAGGGATAATAATAAGTCATACAAGACAAACTTGGAAGACGACAGAAAGGTTGCTTGTTGACACCAACCATCCTTTCTATTTTCCACCATGGGACGACCCACTTGATAGCAAAATTGCAAGATTCAAAGACCTTTCTCCACCCATGGCGCCCAATTTTAGGGAAGCGTTTCTTCCTTCTTACGAAGCAATTGGGAGTGTACTTCTCGATATTTTCCGGAGGGCTAATTAATTCTATCCTTTACATTAGCCACATCTGTAAAAATTGCAATGCAAATAAATTATTATTACAATACAAAAATATATTTTTTGATTTCTATAATTAAAAATATTATTTTTCTACCTGTAATAAAATTGGAGAGCCGCGAAAAGGTGCTTTTGGGTTCCTTTTCAATTCATCAAGACTAATCATAGTCTCTCTAACTATCAATGGCATTGGATTTCTCCCTGATTCAATTTGTTCTAGTACGGTGGTTATAATTGATTGACCTTCATTATTTTTACCACTACTAAGAAAAAATTGATTAAGCACGCAAAATAAGAAAGCCCTTCTTCTATATATATGAAAAGATTCAGAAAGAGGCTTATCAAAATAATGGAGTGCAAATTCTTTTAAATTAACCATGTTTCCATATACTATTTTTTATAAATCCCTTTCTTTTAAATTGAAGAAGCGTTCAAAATCCTTGTAATAATATGCATCAACTCTAGGGATTACTATGAGGTCTATCGCAGGGAAACCTAAAATAGCACCAAATTCTTCTGGCAAAGGGCTAATCTCATCATACCCTATTCTAAAGCAATGAGTATCAACATTCCAAAATTCTAGAGCGGTATGAATGAAATCTAAGTCAAGATCTACCCCTTTTATGCCATAAATACCCCCCAAGTGAAACAAATCTAATTCTTTTCTGTCTCTAGCATTAAGAGATCGACACCATTCATGGGTGTATTGGGTGAAAGTTTTGGTGACTAGAGACATGATATTATTTTTCTAAGGTCAAGAATTATTTTATTCGCTGGAATTACGAAAGATTCGGCTGAGGCAAGGGGCTATTTATGCACGATTTACGAGCAGTTTTAATCAGGATGAAATACGGAAACAGCGCCAATTGGCGTCAGACTCCGTAATTGGCGCCAGACGCCAAGGCTTGGCGCCACACGCCAAGTGTAGCGCCTAGCGCTACACCCAATTGCGTGGCGCCAACTGGCGCCAATATGCCACGTCATTCGCGCTTTCTTAAATTGCGTTTTTACCTTAATCCGATTCGACTAATGACTTTACGGCCCCGATTATCTTTTCTAAACTTTGTTTAATTAATATAGTTATTATATTATTATTATCTTATTCTTTTTGGATTTTATTTAGATTAATTTCCAAAATTTGTTATACACACAAGATTTTATTTGATTTTTCCTTTTTTCATTTTTCTTTTTTTGGGGAAGAGAGTCGGATACCCTCCATCAATAATAAAAATGACGGAATTTTTGCGCAAAATTGTTTGTCACACTTTTCTTGCACACACAAACATGCACATAATAATAGCAAACATAATTAAACTCATAATAAGTATGTATATACAAAATATGTCTAAAAATGAGTTTAACTAACAGGCAAAGTTCTATACAAAGTCAAATAATAAAAAGCACAGGTACAAATCACTTCGCGCAAGAGCTGACAAAGAAATAAGTCAGTAAACATGCATAATATATGTGGACAAAATTTGCAAATAAATGAGCTTACTCGAGTCTGGTGGCGAGATATCGACCGCTCTATGAAGCGCGGCCGAGGAAATCATCTCCCCAATCGGCCTATATGTCCCTTGGTAGTGGATAGACATACGAGGTGGCACGAACTCAGCAGTATCGTCCTGATAAAGCAAAACCAAGTCTGTGAAGCATTACTTGGGGGCTACTTAAAGATAAGAGCCGAAAAGGCGTACCGTCACATTCTCAGCCGGTACAGGAACTGGAGCTAGGAGCTAACAACGGCAGTAGCTCCTCTACACAGCATCGACCAGGGGTCGTGCAAGATCACCAAAGGGGACTAGTTCTCTCTGACATGCTCAAACAACCTCGCAGCACCAGAACACTCAACCACTCGCTGGGGTTGTTCTATCTTCTTGCAACATTTTTTCGGGTTCCTTGGTACGCCAGTTAGCCCCTTTAAGCAATTTGACATGATTTTTAGTAATCGGCTTGATTTCATAAAGTGATCGACCTGATGAAAGATCGTCTCACTTAGCTTAAAGTGCCTAAGCATTGGCTCATTGACAAAAGGCGCCGACATACTAGTTCATTCGCAAAAGTCACTGATATAGTGGTTCATACGCAAAAGGCACCAGCATACTGGTTCATTCGCAAAAGGGCACCGACGTACAGGTTCAAAGCAACGAAAGCGCCGACGTACAGGCATAGCGAGAGCAAAGTTCAAGAGAGCTTTTAAAGATCGACAAGCGGAGATCTTCGGTAATTTCCTTTGGAAAATTATCGCATCAAATGAGGATGGCGTCAAGTGAGGATATCTTCGACGGCATTCCCTAGCTTGCGGAAAGTTGTCACAAACAACTGAAGGTAATTTCAGGAAAAGTTGTCTTCGATCGTGTTCCCTTAGGCGTGGAAGATGGTCATAATGCGGAAGGAGATTGTTTCAAGAGAAATAATCTTCGATAGTATTCCCTTGGTCATGGAATATTATCAATGCGGATGAGGATTGTTTCAAGAGAAGCAATCTTCGATAGTATTCCCTTGGACGTGGAATATTATCAACGCAGATGAGGATTGTTTCAAGAGAAATAATCTTCGATAGTATTCCCTTGGACGTGGAATATTATCAATGCGGAGAGGATAGTTCAGGCGAAGCAATCTTCTATATTGGAAGCAGTTACGGGCGTAGCGGTTTTAAAGCGGGATGGCATTCTCTAGCTTGTAGGAGGTCATCAAACAACAGTGAAGCGACAATAATCGGTTACTTTCAGAGACGTGTGCTCAACGGTGCAAGATACGCGTTTCTTAACTCTTTTATCTGTTTAACTAACGCTAGTTTGTAGGTATCGGCGTTACAAGAGTGATTTAGGATCGCAAAACGTTCTGAATCATTCTCCGTCCCTATCGATAATTTGACTTTCGTTTTCGGAACTTGTGTTTCTCCAAAACTCAATCAAAGTGGGGGCTTATGTAGACACCCATTTGTGTATCCCCAAAACCAAACCCAGTGATGAGTACCTTTCGCGTCGAATCATAATCGAATGAAGCGAAAGTGTGGAAAGTCTAGTGTTGCGGATAGTTTTAATTTCTTTTCTCTTCTCTCTGTTTTTGAAAAATTATTTTAAAAAAAAAGCTAATCCAGTTTGGTTAGTCCATTATATGGGTCCAATAGTAATGTAGTTGGATGGGGCTTGACAAGAGCTTTCCAACGATATATTATAAGCCCAATTCCGATGAATATTGAGGAAGTTATGGCCAATTTACTGAACTGGGCCCGGTTTGAGTCTTATATGCGGCCCAATGATCTAGGGGAGGGCCTAATATGATTTATCATTCCTAATGCAATTAGGAATGGTTTTAGTCTTCTAGATTCTTCTAGAAGGTTCTTTTCATTCCTAATTCAATTAGCATTGATAAATTGACTTTTGTTGACTTTTCAGAGTTTTAATTAAGATCAAAGACGATTTTATCCTCCTGTACGGCAAAACTTATCTGACTTTCAAAAACGCGTCAAAAACAGGCCTGACGCCTGACTCCAGGCATTGGCGCCTGGCGCCAGTTAGCCAGCGTTGGCGCCAGCTCTGTTTCAGTTGCGCCAGGACTCTGTTCTGTTAATTTATCTTTTTGGCTGATTTTCTCTATAAATAACATATTAAAAACTCCGTTTTCATTCACCTACAACCAGTTTTCAATTCTCTCTCATTCTCTTCAATTCTTATTCTTTCATTCGCTAATTCTCATAAAGATTTCCTTAATTATCTCTCTTTTTCTCTTTCTTAAAAACTTGCTTTTACATACAAAATTCCGCATTTACAAGATCTAGAACACATCTAGCCATATTCGAAGTTGCCTTCGCCCTAGAAGTGAAAGGTTTAATTTCAGAGGGTTTGGTCCCAAATCTCTCTTTCAATTATTTAATTTGATTGTTTGTTTATTATTTTCCTTGAAGTTACTAACGTGTGTATTTTGTTATTAGAAAGAGGTACGAGGCATCAAAGTAAGTGCTTTAATGGTTT